TAGCCACATTTTTGCTAACCCCTCATTCTTTTTTTAATGTTAATATTTTAACATTTAATATTTAATATCGGTATGTCTTGTCTTTATCAACAGTGAACCACACATTGATTATTAATGTGGTTCAACTTCTGACAAATACTGATTTTGTGATAAACCAACCATGAAACAGTATCTTTTCCCCACGTGCCTTCAAACCCAGGAACTCATTTTACTTTTGTCTCATTTCAGTGTTGTAGATACCGACATATTTACCTTTCTGTATGTCATCAGACTTATTACTGAAACTGGAGTTCACTATTGTTTATACATTGTTGGTAAGAGTTATTTTACATCCAGTGCAATACATAACTTTTCAGTATATACACGTTTAATGAATTCTAGTAAAATGCATAGTAAAAAAAGTTTTCTCTTGTTAAAGTGCTTTTTTTAAAAAAAATTGGTTTTATTGAGCTGTATATTTTTCTCTGTCCCCCTCCCTGCCTCTCCCCTTCAACCATCTCCCATGATCCCCATGCTCCCAATTTACTCAGGAGATCTTGGCTTTTTCTGCTTCCCATGTAGATTAGATTTATGTATATCTTTCTTAGGGTCCTCTTGGTTGTCTACGTTCTCTGGGATTATGATTTATAGGCTGATTTTTCTTTGCTTTATTCTTAGAAGCCACTTATGGGTGAGTCCATGTGATAATTGTCTTTCTGGGTCTGGGTTACCTCACTCGATATGATGTTTTCTAGTTCCGTCCTTTTGCCAGCGAATTTCAAGATGTCGTTATTTTTCCTGTTGTGTAGTACTCCATTGTGTAAATGTACCACATTTTCCTTATCTATCTTCAGTCGGGTAAACCCTCGTTCTTTTGGGTTCCTTTTAACCTTTTCTCCACTTCTGGCCCATGAGACAGAGACTGTCAGCTCTCTTGTTTATATTTAATAGACAGAGTTACTGAGAATTGAAAAGTAATAAGCGGTTAAATTGATTGCCCTCCGTCCATCTCTTGCATCCGTCTGTCTCGCTCCTCACCCACCTGGCTCCAGCCTTTCCTCTGAAGCTATGCCAACTTCCGTGCCACCTCTGGACGCCTCAGGGGTTATCCTCTTCCCTTCCTGTCACATGCTTTTTTCTCTTTTTTCTTTTCCCTGCTGTCTTCTTTCCATTTCAAGAGTGGGTCCAGGTGTTCGCTCTTTGGTGAGGGCCTAGCTGGGCCCTGCTCCATGCGCACGGCCACCTGCTCTACTCCAGGTGAGTATCATTGGGAATTCCCCATGGACAGAAACACCCACCAGAGTGCAAGGTGCCCCCTTTGACTTTGCCTTTTTCTTAGGAGGTTGGCACACTTAGGTTCAATAGTGTTTGGCATAGCCACCACGTCTTTATCAGAAAAGGGGATGGAAATGCAAAGCCAATGCCAGACTTCCTGGGAAGCATTAGCGTTGATGCTGTGCCCAACGAGCTGTCAAGGGTATGTGTGTAAAGGAAAGGCCTGCGAGATGATCTCGCCTTTATAAAAGGGGTGAAGGAGGTATAGGTGTTGTTCCCTGGGAGCTCTCTGTGTGATTGTTACAGCTGAGGACAGCCACATGCCAGGGTAAGCCACCTCAGGCTGGTCCTGAAGCCTATACTGTGGACCCCACTGTTTCCCACACTGTCTGGCTCTGTGCCCACTGCCATCCCTCAACTCCCTTCCTCCTCATAGGACCAGCGATGAATCCCATACTGACGTGGAGGAAGTTATTGGAAAGTACCAGGGGCTGGGTGGGGCCTCAAGAGTCCTTTAATGAGCCTTCCTACCCTGCAGGGATTAGATCAGCAGAGGAATTTTGGAAATAAAATTGTTTTGAGTTCGTACGTGTTGAGGTGGCACCCATAGATCCCGCCACAGTTTCTCCCAGGTGATTCTGCTCATCAGCTGTTGAAATAGGAGCGGCAGCGGGGCTGCGTCCCCAACACCCCGGCCGCTTGGCTAGCTCATGCCCGAAATAACAACACACAAACTGTATTCATTTAAGAACTGCTTGGCCCATGAACTCTAGCCCTTACAGGCTAATTCTCGCACCTGGACTAGCCCATTTCTAATGATGTGTGTAAGCACCCCAAGGTGCGCTTACCGGGAAGATTCTAACCTACGTCCATCCTGGCTTCAGAGCGCAGAGCTATCGTGTCTATCCGGCAGAGCTGAGCATGGCGTCCCTGCTCCAGAGCGCAGAGCTGTCGGGTCTCTCCGGGAGCAGAGCAGAGTCTGACCTCACTTCCTCTTCCGCCCAGCATCCTATTCTGTTTATTCCACCCACCTATGTTCTAAGCTATGAGGCCAAGCAGTTGGTTTATTATAATTAACTAATTACCTTCCTCCATCAATCAGCCCCTGCTTTACAACCTGCTTCCATTTTCAAATCAAACCTGCTGGGGACCAGCGAGGTAACATGCTAAATCAGACCCCCTTGGGCCTGCCAGAGCCAGCCTCTGCTCTAGTCTGAGGTCTTGATGCAGCTACTCCTGCTGTCTCTGTTTTCTCACCTTGTTGCTCCTACTTCTTGCCCTGGGATCTGTGGTTTCTGCCTGCTTGGATCCAGGGAAGTCCTCAAAAACCCTGACAGGACCCTGCCCTAGGCCAGGAGGAGCTCAGGAGGTGGTAGTAGCCCACCTCTTTGGCCAGTATCCTTCGCTGAGAAGAGGCACTTTAGGAGGCACTGGGGCATCTGCTCTGGCCAGAGTGGCCCTTTTCCCTAAGCTCAGATTTGTCTTCAGGAACAGGTGTGTTCAGCGGGGCACAGTACCGAGTGAGGACCACAGTGGATTGCAGCCTTGACATCAACTAGGGATGGATAGATGATGCTGACAGTGAAGGATAGATTTAGTCCCTGAGAGTGTGGTTCTTGCTAGGGGAGGTGGGCCAGGCGGCGCAGAATCCTTCCAAACTACTCGGCAAAGTTGCACCATCAATTCCTATATTCATTGGGTGCCCAGGATACGTACGTCTACCAAGCCTGAGTCCCTGCCATGAATGAGAATTAGAGCCCAAGGTAGGGGTGGTGGGGTCTCAGCTCTCAGGGAGATTATATCCTGGATCCACCTTAGTCACCTTTATACAACACCCCCACCCCCGTGGATAGCACGACTAATGAAAACTCAGAGAGAAAAATTGGGGTTCAACCTGAAGGTCAGAAAAGCAAAACAGCTAGCCCCGACTCTTATCACTACCTCAGTCCAAAATGGCGATCCTGCCTCCAAGACTCTCAGAGTGAGACTGTGACTGAGAGCTGTCTCCTCCTGTTTCACAATCCTCTCTAGGGCTGGGATTAAAGGCCCCCTGGTTTCTATATCCACTAGTGTGGCTACTGGGACTAAAGGTGTTGTGTTACCCCTGCCTGGTCTGTAAGACTGACCAGCGGGACTGTTTTACTCTCTGATCTTCAGGCAAACTTTATTAAAATACAAATGAAATGCCCATACACCCACGACTCCTTTATCACCAACTACAGAAATGGAAATAGACACAATGCCATATCATCCCCCCCCCCCCACCTCCCTGACATCCTCCCAGGGAATGAACTCACGCTTAGAGTTCACTCATGCTTAGAGTTACCACCCTGGCTGACCAGGGTTGCAACAAGAGCCATACATAAGATCTGAATCCACTCCAGCCCCATGCTGCCAAGGCCCAGGGCCGCAAACAAGGCATTGCGCCATCTGTCGGGCTGAGATTTTGGCATTCTGACAGCCATAGGAGACACAGCCTGGTGAAAGACAAGACCTCATTTGCTTGAAACTTTGAGTGATTTCAGATCTTTTCAAATAGAGAGAGAATGAGGCTGAGGGATTTGTTTTAAGGAACTGGCTCACATCACCGTCGGGGCTGCACCCTGAAGGTCAGCAGGGTGGACAGCTACCAACGTCACACAAAGTCAGGAACCACTGACTTTTGTTAGCCTTAACTAAACAAAACAAAACAAATCTTAGAGAACTGTTTAGAGCACGCTGATGTTTGATCAGGTAATTTGTGCATCTCAGCCTCGCCGGGTAGAAATAATGAAATTAAACCCTCTCTCCTCACATGCCTTTCATACCTGTGCGAGTGTTGAGGCCAACAGAACTGGGGAAGCCATGGCCTCTCCTCATGGACACTTTCCTTTCTGTGCTTAGGAAGTGGTCAGAGCGAAGCCTAACTTACTGAGGGTTGCTTCATAAAAACACAGTGTAAAAGATACTTAGAGGTGACGGTGTGAGTGAGGCCCAGGGGGTCTGGGGAGATTTCCTGGTAGGGCCTGGGGAAAAATGGACAGGACACAAAGGTTCGGGGGTAGAAGGGTACACAAGACTTGGGAACCAGAGTAGACCAGAGGATGCTGGGAACCAGAGTAGATCAGAAGGATGCAGATAACTCAGTTGGTTTTCTCCAGACTAGCATCTGTAGCCACCTGTACATCCTAAGTCAGAAAAAGGTGCACCTGTATTAAACACGTGCCGACCGTTAGCTCGTGTCTTTAGTGCCTGAACAGGGCACTCTGATAACTTTCTACAGCACTTCTTTTGGAGGCGGCGGCGGCAACTTTTGTTGGTGGGTTTTTTAATTGTTGGTTGGTTGATCGGTTTTGTGGAGACAAGTGTAACCGAAGCTGGCCTTGGCCTTGCTGTAGACGAGTATGACCTTGAACGCCTGATTCTTCTCCTGTCTCGGGGTGCTAAGATTGCAGACATGCCCACTGTGCATGGTTTATATATATGGTGCTGGGACTCAACCCATATGGCCTTGTGCACCATAGGCAAGTGTTCTCCCAGGGGAGCCACATCCCACAGCCTTCATATAGCATTTTTATTACATTATCTATCATCTGGGGACAGGCGCCTAGGCCAAAAGCACCGTAGCATTTTACACAAGGTTAAACATTCATGAATCCTTAGTGTCCTTAGTGGGGGACTCCAGGGTCAAGTCCCCCACAGAGACTGGGGGCAAGCATCTGTCCATATTAGCTCCCCTATTCATACCTACTTTCTGTCTCCTGCAGACACGAATGCAGAGTTTGAACCCAGATCCCAGAGCCCAGTATACAAGCATCTATGGCGCCCTCAAGAAGATCATACAAACGGAAGGCTTCTGGAGGCCCCTGCGGGGCCTGAACGTGATGATAATGGGCGCAGGGCCCGCACATGCCATGTATTTTGCCTGCTACGAAAACATGAAAAGGACTTTAAATGACGTTTTCAGCCACCAAGGAAACAGCCACCTCGCTAATGGTATTTTGAAAGCGTTTGTGTGCAGCTAGGAAGCTCTTCTCTTCAATGTTTGCTCCATGGGTCTTCTTCCTCCCCAGGACCCAGCAGCCTTCGTCTCTTCGGCAGCTTGCTCAGGAACAGAGAACTCTAGGGTCACGTGGTTGCACACGCACACACATACACACGCACTCGTACACATGTTTTATTCATTCCCCTCTTTCTCTGGGGGAAGCTGGTGGTAGAGGTGTTTTGGTATTTATTGTTGTGTGGGCTTTTTTTTTATTACAAAAACCACTCAAAACAATTAATGATCAGTCATAGGAAAAAAAATCTTTTGAATGCTGGATTGCAAAACAAACAAAACACAGAAAAGGACAGCTTCTTTGAGACTATTTAAAAACTGGTCCAACAGGTCTCTCCAGCCCCCAGGATCTAACTAAGTTTGGAAAGGTCAAGACGGTTTATGCTGACAGAGGACTTGTGCCACGGCGAAGGCCTTCCCCGCTTTAAGCTACAGGAGATTCGGGCCTTTGACACCCCCAGCCTCCTCCGTGTGTCTGAGTCGCATCTTTCTGCAAGCCAGGGCTGAACTAGTTTCCTGTGGTTGATCTGGGGGGGGGGGGGGAGGAAGGGGGTGGCTGGGAACTGGGCGTCTGTGGGCAACTCGTGAGTCAGGAGCCAATGGGCCAGGTCGGGTGGTAGCGTGGGGCGGGACTTTAATGGGCTTTTCAGTGGGTGAGACAGGACTGTGGATAGCAGGCAACATAAGGTATGTTTACTTTGACAACATCCATTTTGAGGCATTGGAGGAATGGATGTGACCATCAGTAAAGCTCTCCTTTGCTTTGTATTCTACCCAGAACAGAATAGCGTCCCTTAGGTCAGCCACCCTTAGAAACAAGCATCCTTAGCTACTTTGATGACTTGGCTTTTCAGCTGCTGATCATGACCAAGTGCCACGCCCTTGTGCGTCCCTGAGGCGGTACTTACAGGCCCAAACCGCCTTCCTTAATGGCTCAGCTCTTTGAAGGAGACTGTCTGCCCAGTGCTATCCCCGCAGCAGTGTGCCAGATCCTATGGTCGCTGGCCCCTTTCTGGGTCTGTGTGTGCAGTCGGCAGGAGCCACTAGGTGCCTTCCTGGTCATTGTAACTGGCAGGCAGCTGCGCGGCAGAGGGAGGCACTAGGAAGCCAGAAGCAGAAATTGCAGGGCCAGTTCAGGCTTTCAAAGCCAGGCAGGGAGAGACCTTAGATGAAGATCACTCACAGGTCCAGTCCTAAGTGTGCTTGGACGTCAGTTAAGGCAGCCAGTCATATGCGCGATGCTATCCCCATCAGCAGCCTTTCTCTGTACCGAAAGGCTCAACACAAGAGAATCAAAGTCCAGGCAAAGCGTAGTTTCTGGGCTCCAACCCAGTTGACTTACAAGGAAAGGAAAAGTCTCTGAGATGTGTAGAACAGACGCCCTGGTCCTTGGTGTAACTCAGCATTCCTACCTCCGCTTTGGGGTTTTAAAGTTTGCTCACCCCGGGCTGAGCCTCTCGCTAGTCAGTTTTGAGCCTTAAAAAGCTAAGTTCATCCGACTGTAAGTTCAAGGAACTTTCCGGGACACCTGGAGTCAGCGGTTGATTTTCTGGAGTTTGTTTTGCAGGGATAGCTGGGAGTATGGCCACCCTACTCCACGATGCAGTCATGAATCCAGCAGAAGGTAATGTTCCACGGCTACAGGGAGGGACAGTGGGGGACAGTGGCGAGGCCGGAGGAGCTGGGGGCAGGAAGGTGGGCAGGGGCTGACTTCATCAGCCTGCAGGAAGATTGCGTTCTTTATACATTACTGGGAGGTCTCAGGGAAGCCAGGGAGCCCTGGGGTTCTAAGCGCTTCCTGCCATGGAAACAGCTAAGCAGAGCTGTCTGCTACTTGGCAGCATCCTAGGAGAAGTTAGAAACTACTCTTCAGGCCCTGCCCCAGGCCCACTGGGGCAGAATCCTTGGGGGATCGCTTTGTGTGGTTTTCAGTACAGCACAACCTATGTGTTCAAGGGCGTGCTTAGCAAACACATATACACGTCGGACACTGTGAGTGTTTAAGGGTGTGATCAATAAGCACATATGCACACCAGACACTGTTCATTCTTTCCAGTTGTTTCTATCTCATTCACTGTGGGTTGTATCACCCACCCCCTTCAATACAGAATCTCTGCGTACAACCCAGGATGCCCCGGAACTCCCCTGAGACCCAGGCTTGCCCAAACTCCAAACCTTTCTGCCTTAGCCTCTTGAGCACTGGGATTATTGGCATATATACATCACCACACCCTTGATTTGTAATGATTATAGAACATTTTAGGAAAAAGTGAATATATAGAATTATTCCCCTATGTACCTCTAAAGTTAACATGTGGCCATTTTGAGGGGGGCTACCTTTTCTTACTCTTTTATTTGGGGGGGGTCCTCTTATAAAATAGGGCAGTACTTATAACCCACTTGTTGTCCTTACACATACTTCAGTCATCTCCGACTGATTCCTAGGTTTCAGTACTGTGTAAGTAGATGCTGTATGATGTGCCCTAGGGCATAATGCCAAGGAAAAGGTCTGCATGTGTTTGCTGCAGACTGTTTTCTTTCCTGCTTCTTTTGATGTACAGTTACTTAAATCTGTGGATACAGAATCATGGTGTAGAGGGCTTGACTAGCTGTATATATCTTGGGATTTGTTCTTTTTTAAAAAAGCTGCTCATACAGGGACCCGACAACGACAGTCACATACATGGTCAAGGTTAAGTAAGCAGAGTTTACTTAAACAGTACTTTTGTTTGTTTTTGTAACCCAGTCCGGTTATGAAATCTCTATCCCCCTATCCCAGCCTCCAGGTTTCTGGGATTCATTCTAAGTAAATGCTACTACACATGGACGTTTGTATTTTTTTAAAGAAATAATTATGTCTGTGGGTGTTTTGTTTGCATGTATTTATATGTGCCTGGGACCCAGAAAAGGGTATGGTATCCCATGGAACTGAAGTTACAGACAGTTGGGAGCCTCTTTGTTGGTGCTAGGGATCAAATGTGAGTCCTCTGGAAGAGCAGCAAGTGCTCTTAACTTGAACCATCTCTACACCGCGCGCGCGTGCGCACACGCACACGAGGCTCATCTCCCTTGCCCACTTGGCTTTACTCTTGACTCAGTCGGGTCCCTGTTTAAAGATGGACCGCATCATGGGGATGCTCTAGGCCGTGTGTAGGTGCCGTCCAGACTCTAGGGAATGCACCTCATTTTCTCTGGTCCTATGAAACATTTGTTTATTTTGTCTTAAAGCCAGGATCTGCACTAGGGGATGCCACTCAGCTTGGACAGATGTAATTCTAGTGTTGTCCCAGGTGAGCTCTGATACAGATTAGAATCAGAGAAGTCAGAGATACTTTTGTTTTGAGACAAGATCTCACTATGTAGTCCTGGCTGGCCTGGGACACCCTGTGTAGACCAGGCTGGCCTTGAGCTCATAGAGAGCCACCTGTTTTGTTCCCCCTAAGTGCTGGAATTAAAGGCATGTGCCAGCAGGCTCAGCTCAGGGACGCTCTTAATAAGAACAGGTCAGGGAGACGGAGATATTTGTGGCCAATGTGTAGGCGGCTAGGACCTGGGGATCAGGTTGTCTGATTGAACCTCAAGTGAATGCCTGATTTGGGGGTGACCTCTCATTAGAACGTCAGACAGGAAATTCTTTAGAAGTACGCACTTTCCTGGCACGGGGTCCCGGAGGTAGCAATGAAATGAAGTTGAGGCAGGTTGCCTGGAGCTGGCCCTCCACGGCTTCTTGGCTGGGGCTGTGCGTGTGCTGTTTTGGTCCCTGCCACCAGTGTGAGTTCTAACATGCTGTTTCTCTTTATTGGTTGGCTCCCCATTCCACTCCCATCTGGGATGGGAGGGCCAAACCAACCACCTGCCTGTCGGTTGCTCCTCTCCGCCCGGACACAGTGGTGAAGCAGCGTTTACAGATGTACAACTCGCAGCACCGGTCAGCCCTCAGTTGTATCCGGACGGTGTGGCGGACCGAGGGGTTGGGGGCCTTCTACAGGAGTTATACCACCCAGCTGACCATGAACATCCCCTTCCAGTCCATCCACTTCATCACCTACGAGTTCCTGCAGGAGCAGGTCAACCCTCTCCGGAACTACAACCCCCAGTCTCACATCATCTCAGGAGGCCTGGCCGGTGCGCTGGCTGCAGCTGCCACCACCCCGCTGGATGTCTGCAAGACCCTCCTCAACACGCAAGAGAACATGGCGCTCTCCCTGGCCAATGTCAATGGCCGGCTGTCGGGCATGGCCAACGCCTTCAGGATGGTATACCAGCTCAACGGCCTCACTGGCTATTTCAAAGGTCTCTACGCACGAGTCATCTACCAGATGCCTTCCACCGCCATCTCCTGGTCCGTCTATGAGTTCTTCAAGTATTTCCTTACGAAGCGGCAGCTGGAGAATCGAACTCTGTACTAAAGGAACGGGCAGTGGGAAGTGGTTCCAGCATCTTTTGTTCCTGCCTCATCCCCTTGTCTTCACACCCAGGCCCTGTCCTACAGGGTGCTTGCGCCGGGCCCTTCATTCCCTGGTGCCCTAGAAAGGGAAGGACCAGCCTCCACTGCTCAGAAGGCTGGCTGTGGGGACACCCCGGGTGGTGGTAGGTGGGGGAAACTTGGGAAGGTGAGTGAGAAGTTGCTTTTTCTCCTCCTTCCTTGAGAGGAATGTAGCCTTTCTGCATCCCTGTGGCCTCTTCCCTAGATCTTTCGATCACGCCGCAGAGGAGAGCAATGACCCAGTAAGAAGAGTTCATATACATAAAAGGACCATTACCCAGTCTAAAATAGGTGGATAATGTTTATCCTTTATTTTTCTACATAGAGATTTTTGAAATTGTGTGTGCTTGTGTGTGTGTCCATAAATAGTATTAGAGTTGGGATGATATACCTGTTTTTGTTTTTGTTTTTTTAATAAGAGAGTTGAATTCTTCCGCCATAAGAAGTAAAACAGAACAAAACAAAACAGGAAAAAAGGCAACAAAGTAATAAACGGCTTGCCTTGGCCTGGAGTTGTGTACAGCACCCCTCTCAAGGGAGTTTAACTTGAATGTAAAAATAATAAATACAAAGTTTATATTTTGAATTTTCTCTTTTCATGGGGGAAAAAGGTACGTTGAAAACAAGTCAAAATAATGATCTATCACTTGGAGCTTTTTTTTTTTAATTCTTTTTAAACAAACAACAAAAAGTCACCTGTGTGTGCCTTTCTGTCTTTCCTAAAATTTCCAGGACCAAAGCTATGGCCCTGGAGCGTTTGCCTCCGTCTGTGGACACAGCCGTACAGTACTAAGCATGCTGGTTGTCCACTCTGTAGGGTAGTGGGCCCAGGAGCATAAGAATGTCTGGCCTTCACCTTTCCCGAGAGTAATGTGAGCGTGTGCCCCCCCCCCCCATCAGCACTTAGCATTGGATTCGCCATCATTTGCCTAGCAAATTAGTGGGATGATTCCCGCCTTAGTCTTAGGACTGATTTCTGTAGCGACCTCAGTCTCAGGCACTTAGCTAATTGGGTCGTCATGTGTTTTTATCAAAGTCGCCTCTTAACCCAGTTCCCCTGCAGTCTAGGGATATTTGAAAATCCCAGCTGGACTATTTCTGGCACTCATCTGTCCCCTGCCCTGTTGTAGCCTCGGGTCTTACCCATCACAGCCTCTCACAGCACTGAGGCCGGCCTTCCAGCCTGGACTGCACGGCTGGAGCCTGTTAGGACCCTCTCTCTCTGCCTCTCCAGAGCCGCTCAGCGGCCTTGGCTCCTCCTGTGTCACTTGAGAGCCTATGTCCTCTCTGCTCTGGCCGATCATCTCTGAGAGAACACACAAGCCTGTGTCTTCTAGTCTGTCACTCTCAGGAGAGGACAGAATGGTCTCAATGTCCCTCTTCCAGCTTGTCTATGAACGAGCAGGGGACACACTGGCATTTTTACTTCCTTGGCCCTGGTCTTGTTTGGAAGCCATGGCTAGCATGCTCCTTCTCACTGGGGAAGCATGGACCTTAAGTTCCTGTGGATTGGTGCCACTGCCTGGGAAAAATTCAGCTTGAACTTGGTTGGAGACTTTTCGTCTTGGGACCACACATCACCCAGTGCCCTTGGGCACAGGTTATGATTTTGTCCATTAACCGTGAGAAGTTAGATGATGGTCAGCTGTCTTCTTTTTTTTCTGATCAGAAGGAGGAGAGAGCCACCTCAAGTACTTAGAAGTTCTCCATGAGGGCTTGATGGCTGGCTGCTGAGCTGTCATACCACAGGGTGACAGGTTTCTGTGCTTGCTGGTGTCTGAGGCTAACTGGTGCCCTTTTATCACAGATTGTGTTTCTGCCGTCCTCCTGCTAGTGTTGAGTAGCTAAATATAAATGGAAGGGGGAGCCTAGAGTAAAATTGAAGTCAAGTCTGAAACATTCCTACCACACCCTGTGGTCCATCTGGTGACAAATCTTGCTGCAAAAACAATATTCCTGTTGGGTTTTCTTTACAGCTACCTTCTTCTGGAACAGCCTCTATGGCCAGGGCCGTGTAAGATGGAGAAGTAAGACCCGGACTTCGCAGCTCTGTGGGCTTAAGGTCCTTGCTGTCGTCTCCTTGTGGTGATGGCGGATTCACAGGGAGGCAGCTTTTTAACCAGCCCGGCCCACCCAGCCATCACAGGTTGAGCAAAGTGAAAGGTGGTTAAAAGTTGTGAAGCCCTAAACAAACATGTTTCTCACTCCTCTGGGGGTTACTTTGCCCCCCCCCCTCACCTTTTGCTCCAGGGTTGGCATTGTCCGCGCGCCGGGCGCATTAATGGCCTGCGTATTGTGATTTTTGACATCGCAAAGGTCTAAATAGGAAAATGCTTCCCAGGCCCAGTGACCAGGTTAATAGAGTTAACGGCATCTTTGGAGTGACTCCCAAGGATGGGACCGTGTGACCTGGGTGCACTGCTAACACTTTAGCTGTGTGTGTGTTCACATGATCAGACCACATGACAGCCACTTAATAGATGAGTGTTAATTTATTATAGAGTAAAACATTGATCTTTTAAAAATGGGAATGTTCTTAATTCATGACTACTTTTTTTTTAATTGGAATAACTATAATTACTTTTATGTGTGCTTGTGTGTCGTCCCCCTCCCCACCATGTCTTACAGCCATCCTCCTCCAAATGTCACCCCAAGGCTGTATCTCCCAACACACTGCTATGCCAGTAAGGTTCTATTTAACTTTATTTATGGGTAATTGTGTCTGTAAACAACAGATGTGTCGCCACCAGTCACACACTGTGGGATAAGAGTGGCCCAGTGTTATTCTCTGAATGTCTTTAAAATGCCTGTGGTCAAGATTGTTTTCGCCTTGTGAGTTCTGAGCATGGGGAGCTGCAGTGTGTTCCCATGTGGGGGTGGCTGCTGTGCTGCTACCGCTGTAACACTGGAGCTGGAGAAAATAAAGCATTGTTCTGGAAAGCGTCGTGGACTCTTTGTGGACACAGGGGCGGGAGAGTGGTTGTTGAGGAGACTGCAGATCGCCACTTTGTCAGCAGAGGGCGCCCCTGTACATCACCGTAGCAGAGGGTTCTCCTGCACATAGATCGCATTAGCTGGAGGTCTGCCTTTTTTCTTTTTCCTTTTTCTTTTTTTTTCTTTTTAATTTATGCTCATTGGTGTTTTGCCTGCACATATATTTGTTTGAGGGTGTTGAGTGCCCTGGAACTTGAGTTTTAGATAATTGTAAGTTGCCATGTGGGTGCTGGGAATTGAACCTGAGTCCTCTTGAAGAATAGCCAGTGCTCCCTCCTAACTGCCAGGCCATCTCTCCAGCCCCTCTTGCTTACGTTGAACACCTGGAGGACTGTGACTTTTCTCTGCGTATACCTCCGTGGAGAGTCAGTTGGGAACCTCTTTCAGAAAAAGCCCCCAATTGGCCAGAGTCCACACTCCCAAACCACAGCCAAAGCCAGAGAGTAGAACTTTCCCAAGAGGAGCAAGTGAGGAAGCCTGAAAGGAAAATGTTTGCTTTGAGAACTCGACGCTGCCCACAGAGTCAAGGTCAGTACGATTGCTGAGTCCCTACCAAAGGTATAACATTAGAATGGAGGCTGAGCCTGGGGTCCAGCCGTGGACACGGGTGCCAGGTGGGCAAAGGTGCTGGGCAAAATGCGTGGGTAGCAACTTTCTGTCTTGCCCACAGCTGACTCTGAACTCAAAATTACCTCATGGCTTGTAGCTGCTGCGTTTTGGTATGGGGTGTGGTGGAGTGGGTTCAACCCATTCTTCACCGTGCCTGGATAAACTGAGCCAGCAAATATGCGGTAACTGCTGATAACAGAATCCATGCTGGAGCTGTGGGACGGATGTGAAGGATGTCCTACCCTCAGAGACCCGGAACCCCAGACTGCAGACAGCTAGGCCCGTCATCCCAGCTACCTGGGAGCCAGGAGCTGATAAAGTCAAGACCATCTAAAGTGCCCATTTTCAGGGCTGGAGAGTTGGCTCAGAGGTTAATAGCACTGACTGCTCTTCCAGAGGTCCTGAGTTCAATTCCCAGCAACCACATGGTGGCTCACACCCATCTGTAATGAGATCTGGTGCCCTCTTCTGGCCAGCAAGCACACATACAGACAGAACACTATACATAATTTTTTTTTTAAAAAAAAGAAGAAAACATCATTAAAAAATTAAGTGCAGACAGAATATTGTATACAAAATAAATAAATATTTAAAAAAATAATAAAGTGTCCATTCTTGGCAAGGACCTGGGTTCAGTTCCCAGCACTATGGGTGACTGACAACTCTAGCTTCAGGGAGTCTAACGCCTCTGACCTCCATTGATTTCGGCGCTTACATGTACATACACCTAATGGGAAATAATTTTAAAGGGGACTAAGTTAGGCTGAGTGGCAGAGTGTTTGCTTAACACGTACGGGAGATTCTGGCTTCAGTCCCTACCACCAAAAGGCAAGATAAGGGACTTTCTTATTGACACACTTTAGTCCTCATTCCCCAGGATGGCAGTGGAGGAGGTTGCTATGGAAGTTACCTGCAGTGCAGAACCTCTTTATCTCCTGGACTGCATCCCAGCCTGAGGTGACTACGGTGCTTGGGCCTGGCTCACCGGTGCTCACGCTGCATCTCTTCCTGTGCAGGGACGTTAGCCTGGACCTCTGCAGTCTGCTCCAGTGGGACTGTGTTCACCACAGAAACTAGTAGTTTCTGCAGATCTCGGCTTCTGCTTTCCTGAGAGCTGGCAGTGTACCAGCCCGTGTTCGGTGTGTAGTAACATTTTGTGGAGAGAGATAAAGCTTTGGGGTCCTCTCTACAACACCCATAATTCCTGCCTTAAAGAGTTCTAAAAGGAAGGGTTTTCTTTTTCCTCAGCTCAGATCTCCTGTTGTGATTTTTTAGTGGGTTAACTACTCTTCTGGGAAGACCTTAAGGGGCCAGGGCCTCGGGGAGAATGTCATCCTAATACTGAACACAAGACTCAGGTGTGTGTGTGTGTGTGTGTGTGTGTGTGTGTGTTGGGGGAGGAGAGGAGGAATATTAAAGGGGCTTGCTCACTCCTGAGAGGGAGGGAGGGACAGAGCAGAGAGATGAGAAAGGAGTGCGTCTGGAACTTTTGGTGTAATCCCCCCCCCCACTTCCCTTCCAGTTAGGCTCCACTTCCCAAAGATTCTGCCACCTCCAAAGAAAGCCCAAGATTAAGTGTTTAAACACTTGCGCCTGTTGGAGACATTTCACACCCAAACCATAGTATTGCTCTTGCAAGAAGTTTGACCCTTAGGTGGCAGGTTTTGGGGTGATGCTGAAGGTCTTTGGAAGTCACAGGGTGAGTGGGGTTGGTGGGCAACCTAGGTAGTTTGGTGTCATAGTGAAATTTCCCAGAAGGATGGCTAAGGGGCGGGCCAAGAAGATTGGAACGAAATGCTAGGATCTGAGATTCAATGGAGATTTGGGGGGTGGGACTATAGTGCTGGCTGAGAAACACTCCTGAGGGCAAGAAGGCCCTCACCAAAATGATCAGCAAGAGGTGATACCAGACCCTCTCCAAGTAGCTGTGCCTCAGTGTTCACAGAGCACCTGAAGCCAGTGAAGAGAACAGAGAGGCTGGGAACTGTGAGTGACCTGGGAAGGGCAGAGAGGTAGGAACCAAGCTAAAGAGAGGGCCAAGTGTTCCCCATTCACAGAG